TTAGGTGAGACTGCTTTTCATCCCAGCTTTCTGTGATGCGGAACTCATTCCATGAATGCTGAGCAAAGGAAAAATCGCTTGGCACCGCCGGTATCTGCTAAAGCGTGGGGCCCAGGTTCGAGTCCTGGCAAAGCCCATAATCGGCCCATAATTCAGAGTTTCTGTGATAAAAACAAGCTGTAACGCCTGTTTAGCTGTTCGTTTTGTTTATAATAACAAAGAAAAAAATAGTTAAAAGGAAATTACCTTGTGCATCTTTTCGCTTTTCTTTGCTTCGTCAGCTTTAGCAAGCTGCATCATTTTCAGTGCCTCCGTAGTTCTTCTATGCTGAAAAACAAGTTTGCTGTACGTTGATTGACAAATTAATATTCAAAGCTCTTGAAGGAATGCCTACGATGTTTCCGAATGATGCTCCAGCAAATACCACTGAGGGTTGAAACTTTCCATTCGTATATTCCCAGAACTATCGGGGAACAAGTTTGGACAGAAGAGGCTGGATCCATTTTCTTTGTGGTAGGCTTGAGTCCCAGAGCGTCTCTCTCTTCTGAAGCTTGAGCAACGGTTCGCACTGCCTGAAAAATAACCGAGCATTGATGTGCACCTCATGTGTGGAAATTCTGAATTAAAAAACCATATTCATGAACCGAGCGAGGTGGTGTAGGGAGGAGTGCCTTCATCCACCAAACGCTGGGTCAGGAAAGGGGCCAACTTCGCGTTTTTGAGAAAAGGAACACCGCTTGTCGGTCAAAAAGCCGATTATCTTGAACCGCCAGTCTAAAACGAAGGCTCACGCATAGGTCGAATCTACTTACTTAGTCGCAAAATATGAACGCGGCCTTTATCAAAATGCCTGGAAGCTTAAAAAAGTAGTGTATCTTGAGCCAGAAAAAGAGGTCCGCATGAATCATGGAAAAGTTGTAAGAACACCGACTGTTATGAACAAACTTCAGAGCTGTGAAGAAGAAAGCGACTACAAAAGACATTGGATGAAGAGTGGAAGGGAAGAATGCTAACCTCTCGCCCTGGAACCGTCTGTGTCTCGTCCACCCATACTGCTGATTCCTCTAGTGGTCCAATTTGAGCAATGAATACCCTGTTAATCACACATCATAACAGGGCGTGATATAAATGTTACACGATCTACCTGAATTTCACATTGCAAATTCCTCGTCCACCAGATTTGGTAGCTATTTTAACTTCTCCTAAGCCACGATTCGCTTGACCCAAACGAGCAATAATTTTCTTATCGGTCTTCCATCTGAAAACAGCAGTGTTACCGCATGAAAAAGAGTGCTTTAGAAGGAACTCAGTCGGAAAAATAAAGGTGAAATGGACTTTGCTGTGTGCATGCAGTCGGTGCCGCAGATGAAAAGCATGAGCAAATCATTCTGATCCGTGCCTAGGTTCTCACCTCGTATTGTTATCTGAGTGCCAGGAGTCCCTAAATAAAAATATAAAAATAGGAGAAATATACTGCGGAAATTCAAAGATTTTCCGCCGTTTAGCATTAGCAATTAGCAGTTACTTAACCACACATAAATTTCCATCTCTCTGTTTTCCTCGAAGCGCCACATTGAGTATTACCACAGAAAAGTATCACAAGAGTCCAAAAGTCCCACCAAGCCACTGTTCATGACCGATCCCTTGTTCGGCACCTCTGAGATTCCTCGCAAGCTTTACAAGGAGCCCGACGGCCAGTAGGGAGATAACGGCAAGTTTCATTGATAGAGAAGCTCTTGGCATCTCCGTTCCAGGACATGATATGTGCAGTGGCATGTCAGTGCGACCCCTACCCAATTTCCTCCTCCAGTGCGACCCCATTTCCTTGCCTACCTACCATCTTCCTGAATTTTCTCCCTTTTGCCCAGTTTTCCGAGATCATGTCCTGCTTTCCCTCCAAGGAAATGACATTCGTGTGCTGGTAGAATTCTCTATATTCGAGGAGTAAAGGCAACTGCCTAGGCGCAGTTAGAAGTGATTGAGAATTTAATAAAGATTCCCGAGAGCTTCCAGACGCAGCCCCAACAACTTCTGCTCGTGTGTACCAACAATAAGAGTTCCTACTCAATGGCCTCTCGTTACATAATCAAAACCCAATGTACCACCCTGGCTAACATATTACCATAGGAAGACTAAGTTTAAAACGAGTCAGGTAAGTTAGGTAAGGAAGCTTCCTCTAGTCTCGAATGTTTTTACTCCCATTAATCGATGACACTCATGCAGTTCTAGGAAAAAAAGCAAGAGAGAACATAAATCATTAAAGGATTACCTTCAGTAGGAGAGAGTCCGGTCACAGTTGGTGGTCCACGAGACCTTGTAACTGGAGGAGCTAACCTATCTCCATCAGACATATCCTTCTGCCAATAGACTGCTGAAGGATACCACCTAGAAACCAATGTATAGCAGCGCAAGCTAATAAAATGGGACGAAAAATTGTCTCGGCGTCTTCTGCAAGCGCCTGCGCTGCGCACGTTTGAACTGGGGCGCGTTGTCTGAAAAGTCAAACGCACCCCAGTTCAAAAGGGCCAAAAGGCGGTCCTGCTCGCAGGACTGCAGGACAAAAAACGAATTGAATTCATTGATGTCTTTTTGAGTAGTGTCTTCGGTGCCCAATGTTGGCGAAAGGGAGCTATTTAATCTGAACCCTCTTGAGAAGTGGTTCAGAGGAGCAGCTGAGCGTTTCCACAGATAAGTTAGCGCCTCGTCTTTTACTACAAGAGCCTTTTTCAGTACACGTAGGGGTTGTACAATTGATTGCACGGGCTTAGTAATTTTATCCTCCCAGGTCAGACCTGGAATAAACCAACTAGCAAGAGTTGGAAGGCTCGACTGGTGAAATTGAGGTATGGTAGAGACTTGATCACGGGACAATGTGTGCTATAGTGGTGCTTCCCCTCCCAATGGGGTACGGCTATGGGAACATATTGGTCAATTACTACTATTAGAGTGCGTTCATACTTCGCGATCCAAATGCTTAGATCGCGTGAGCGTCTGTCTGTATTTTGAGCATTTACGGTACCACAGCCGAGGTTTTTTTATGCCATTCGCCAGCCTCTTTCCCCAGCCAAGGCTTAGACTGATGTGAGAGCGCAGACGGTCAGGGTTGCCATGGTTAACTCTCGCAGAGCAATCTCTGCGCCTTTCCGTCGTCTGTGCAACTGGGCAACCTGAGACCGTTACACTCCTATCCTAAGGATGGAGGGGCATAAATGCGTACTTCATCATAACGTGGATTTGACCATGCTTCTGTTGGAATATTTCCGTACATGTTTATTCCCGCAACTGTCTCGCACAATCCTATATGACAGCTGTCTCAAATGGAGATATCCCACGAAAAACGTATGCTACGCAACGTTTAGGCGAAGTATGCTGCCACGCCCTCTTCATGGCAGGGATATGTAGGTACATTACGCTAATTATGTCTGCTCATGTGCGGCCTGCCACATTCGTATGGCTGGGCGCCTTTATCTATGGGTGCCTTTACGTAATGCTGGGTCTCGAGGGGCCGAGAACACACCCTGTCGGCTCTGTTCAAGTACATCTCAACAGGGGTAGCAGGTTGCAATTAAATCAAAAGCGGGAGAAGGCCCAACGTTCGGAGTGAAGGTGTCGCTGGTGAGCTTCACAGCGTTGCCCGTTTGGTGCACGCGACACTGCAAACCAGCCAAACTTGTAGAAAGATTGATTGGTGTGATTTCTATAACACTTCTGTTCAAACTAGCAAAAAATGCAAGTGGCACTTTCCTGGTGTCACGGGTGGCGA